CCCGGGATGTCCCGGTGTCACAGCCCCGGGATAGGGCTGCAGCAGCCGCTCGCTGGAGCTGGGACAGTTCTCCCCTTGCCGAGTGCAGGCCAGGGCTGAGGCCGAGCCGGGCTGTCCCCTCTGAGCTGTTTCTGCTGCAGGCGGTGGCGGGGCCCGGCAGCGCCTCCCCAAATCCGCTGCCGGTGTCCCCCCCGTGAGAAGGCCGGGCTGGGGCGGGCAGGCTGCGGCCGAGGTGCCCTCGCTCCGTCCCCCGGTGCAGGGCTGGGAGAGCGGAGCCGGCAGATGTGGGAGGCTCTCCTGGAGCCGTCCATCCCTGCCTGGCCGCCAGCCCGGATCCCAGGGTTTCGCTCCCGGGCTGCCATTCCCTTTCTGCTGGATGCGGACCCGCAGCTTCCCCTTCCGAGGGGCGTAAAGGGATGAGGGCGGCTGGGAACGGGGCTGCCCCTGCGGAGAGCGGGCAGGGGAGGGGAGAGGGAGGCGAAATGCGGGCGCTGCGGCGGGGAGAGCGCACGTTTCCTGTGGCGGAGCCCTCGCACAGCATCTGGGAGCTGGGCCGGCTGCCCACAGACATTCTGCACGCCTGAGTCACACCGCAGCCGCTGCACGGACCCTCCCCAGCCCAGCCCAGCCCCCCGGCCGCCCCCAACGGGCCCCGGGCTGGCAGGGATTTGGGCACTCTCCTCTTGCTGCTGGGTGAAGGGACCTTCCCCTCTCCTCGCCGGGAAATGAGCAGCGTCACCTCTGGTGTCCCCCGCTCCTCACTGCACTGCTCTTGCGGGGTTCACCATTGGTTTTTTGGGGTTATTCCCCTTTTGGAAGGACGTGGGGACCACATTTAGGCTCTCCCATGGGATGGTGGCATTGCCGTGCCAGTCTGGCTCGGGAGGGACCGGGCAGAAGGGGCTGTGGGGTGCAAGGTCACTTCCTTGCCCACCAATACCAGGACTGGCCCGCTCCACTCAGCACTGCTGCTCGAATCCAGTTTTCCAGCATTTTGGAACACTGGGATTGTGGCTTTGGGAGTCTGTGTGTTGAGTTTCAGGCAGGAGCAGCAGCAGATGCGGGCGGCCACAACATTCCAAGCCCTGGCAGTGGCTCAGGGAGGGTCCCAGCAGGGGGACCCCGGTGATGCTGCCCTGGGATAGGGTGGGGGGATCCAAACCCAAAGCGAACATCCAGGAGGTTTTGGGGTATTGAAGAGCTGGAGACAGGCAATTTTCCCCAAAATCCTGGTTTTCAAGGGCTGGTCTCCCCACTCCTGCCCAGACTCCCACATTACTGGGGAGCTGGAGGTGCCTCTTTGAGAAGAGCTTTGGCCCCATGTTTTAAAGGCTGTCCTAAGAAAATGGAATCTATTTTCCCTAACTTTGAGGGGGGGGATTCCTGGCTGCCTTTGTCTCCCCCTCGCCGGAGCCAGAGCGTGATTTTGATTTACAAACAGTTTAATCTGAGGAATGCAGCGAAATGGGGAGCGCCAAGTGCATCCTGCTGCAATCCCAGAGAATCCAGCTGCCGTCTGAGGCTGCTGAGCTGCTGCTGGCTCCCTCTGAACTCAGCCCCTGCCCGGCTCCCTGCGGGCTCAGCCCCTTCCCGTCACAGCCCTGGGCACCGTGGTCATCCTCGGAGCCATCTCTGTGCACACACGAGGCAGGAGAGGGCACTGCACAAGGGTACACAGGAATTGAACACTCCATGCGGTTTTTAGGGAGAGGAGACAATTCCTGTTTTATCCAAGACCTGTTTTCTGTCTCCCCAGTCTCCTATCATCCAGCCCACTCTTCCCGCTCAGCTCTGGTTATTTTAAGTTCCCTTCCCAGTGGGTTTCAAGGACCAAGCTCCCAGTTTAACCTTTCTGAGCAGCCCGAGCCTGGGCTTGGTAAAACCAAGCACTGGGACCATCCACTCGTGTCTTTCACGTATTTTATTTTCACCTTCCATCTGTTTTATTTTCGTGGATGCAGGACAGGGACCGCCTGTGCCTGCTCCACCCCTGTGTTCCCCCATGCCCTGCACAGAAAGCAGCTCCTGTTCCCTGGTGCCAAGAGGTGCCTTTGCCCTCGAGCCTCTCTCCTGAATCATCCCTTGTTTACTGCCATGGGAGAGGAAAATCAAAGTTTGGCCGAAGATTTGATTTTATTTGTGGCATTCCTGAGGAGGATGATGGGTGCTGGAGCCCCGTTCCTTGTGCTGGTTCCCAGCCCTCTCCCAGAGCACCACGGACACCGGGCAAGGGGCTGAGCCACCCCTCTGGCTCTGGCAGTGTCCTGGCAGGACATGGGGCTGCAGTGGGAGAGGCTGGAGGGACAGACACAGCACTGAGTTATTTTCCTCCTCCTGCAGAGAAGTTCAGCCAGAGGTTGGGGAGACCTCAAGGAAGTGGCCGGTTCCTGCAGGGCTGGGGAGAGGAGCAGGCTGGCTCTGCAGTGGTGCCTCATCTCTGACTTTACAGAGGGCAGTGGGGACATCCAGGAGCTTTGTCCGGCAGTCTTGGTGGCTTCATCCCTCCTGCCTCTTCCTTCAGGTCCTCTGATGAGTTTCAGCACATCCTTCATAACAAATCTTCATTTCATGCCTTCCACTCTCTGGAGCCTTTGCCTCCTTCCCTCCAGCCACTTTTTCCACATCTCCTGTTCCATCTCCATCCTCTCGATCCATCAGCATCACCTCCTGGCCACCCCATGTCCAGCTGGGGACCGAATTCCCGTTTTTCTCCAGGGTCTGGGCACGCCTTTCTCCCGGCGGAGAGGGCAAGGGGGGTAACACGCTGCTCTCTCCTCCAGGCCAGCCCCAGGTGCGGCCACCCCCGCAGCCCCCCGGGCCCTGCACCCTCCTGCTGCCCAACGGCGCCGGGCGGGGGCCGGACCCGGCCAGTGCCAACGGGGAGATGGGGAACGGGACCTGCCGGGCCGTGCCCAGCGTGCAGAAACCTCACCGAAAGCTGCAGTCACACCACTCTATCAACAGCCAGAGCAGCAAGAAGAGCAAGGGCAGCTCCAAGTCACCCTCTTCCCACATCCCCATTGAGGCGCAGGAAGGTACTGCCTGTCCCCTGGGGGTCTCTTTCCAGTCATTTTCCTCGGGCCCCTCATCCCTTGGGATCCCTTGGGTGGCATCCCCCGAGCCCAGTGGGACCCCCGGACCCTCCTGGCATCCTCCAAAATTGGTCTCTCTTGAGTGTTAAGGGAGATCTCCGGGGCAGTGGCTGCCTCCTGATCCCTTTTCCCCTCCCTTCTGTGGATTCCCGGGGGAGGATTTCCACCTTGTGCTGCTCCCCCAGCATCCCCCGTGCCGGGCGCTGTCTCACCCGCGCGTTCCTCCCCAGACTGCTGCGTCCACTGCATCCTCTCCTGCCTCTTCTGCGAGTTCCTGACCCTCTGCAACATCGTGCTGGACTGTGCCACCTGCGGCTCCTGCACCTCCGAGGACTCCTGCATCTGCTGCTGCTGCTGCAACTCGGGCGAGTGCGCGGACTGCGACCTGCCCTGCGACATGGACTGCGGCATCATCGACGCGTGCTGCGAGTCCGCCGACTGCCTGGAGATCTGCATGGAGTGCTGCGGGCTCTGCTTCTCCTCCTGAGGGGCTCCCCTGGGCCGGGGGACCCGCGCTGGGACCCCCCAGGCTCCCCCGCAGCGGGCGAGGCTCCGGCCAGTCCCTCGGGAAAGCTCACGGAGGAGGAGAGCGAATCCCCCCCTGGAATCCTCGTCCTTGGAGCCGGATCCTGCCCAGGGAAGGGTGAACCCAGGCACGGTGGGGGCTCTGGCAGTGTCCTGTCCTGCTCTACCTCTGCCTGCACCGGGGCACCGCGGGAGCCTCCTGCCACCTGAGCCGAGAGCAGGAGCACCCATCCTGCAGAGCCACCCTGGGGCCTTGGGGACAGCCCTGTCCTACAGAGCCACCCTGGGGTTTTGGGGACAGCCCTGTCCTGCAGAGCCACCCTGGAGCCTTGGGGACAGCCCTGTCCTACAGAGCCACCCTGGGGTTTTGGGGACAGCCCTGTCCTGCAGAGCCACCCTGAATCAAAGCCTTGGGGACAGCCCTGTCCTGCAGAGCCACCCTGAATCAAAGCCTTGGGGACAGCCCTATCCTGCAGAGCCACCCTGGGGCCTTGGGGACAGCCCCGTCCCGCTGCCACTGCCCCAGGACTGCTCTGCGGGCAGCACTGCAGGGGGTGGCACAGAGCATCCCCCTCCAGGGACATCACCAAGGACACCTCCAAGGCTGGGTGACCCCCGGGCACCGGGAGATGCTGGAGCCTCCAGCCCGGCTGGGGGACACGTCCTGCCAGGGCCCCCTGCCCTCGGTAGCCAAGTGCAATACCCGCAGCCTGTCCCCCTCCCGGGAGGAAGCTTTACCTGCAGCCGGAGCCGTCACCGAGCTGTCACCGAGCTGTCACCCAGCTCCGCGTGTCCCAGGCTCGGCTGGTGCCAAATGACCCCCAGCAGTTGCTGGCCCCGTGCCACCATCCCGAGGACAGAGGTGGTGGCTGGGTTGGGGTGGCAGACACGCCGCTGACGGGCTGGGGAGACGGGAAGTGTCCCGGTATTTGATATTATTTTTGTTCCTTTTTACTGTAAATAAAGGTCTTTCTTCATTTCTGACTGGCGGCTGGCCCGGGACGCGCTGTGCGGGGCACTCCCTGGAGACTGAGGCTCCGTGTCCCCTGTCCCTGCTCCCAGCTGGCTTTGGGGACATGGGACAGGTCAGTGAAAGCCCCAGGGTGCTCCTGTTTGCTCCTTGTGCTGGGAAGGAAAATGCAAGAGCTCTCTCTGTCCTTGGCTCCAGGGAACAGGTGAGGTCCTGAAGTGCCCCGGCTCTCCTGGGACAAACCCTGGCTGTGCTGTCCCACCCCCCCCGCAATGTTCCTTGCTCCGGGCTGCTTCACCAGCCCCAGGAGCAAATTCCCAAAGGAGAAAATTAATTATACCAATTCCTAGCGGAAGGGCCGGGGCTGGTCAGGTTGCAGCCCTTGGAATTTGGGTGGCTTTGGCCACTCCTGCAGCCCCCCAAGCCCTGGGTGAGACCCCCACCCGTGCCAGGGTCAGGGAGCACGACCCCACAGCGGGGTCTCGCTGCCCCTGGAAAGGCTGGGCTGGCCCGGCTCAGCTGCTGCCTGGGCTGGAGCTGAAGGAGGAGGGAAAAACACTTAAAAACCGAGGCCAAATGGGTCAGTTGGTCACGGCGACAAGGGCTGCTTCGGGATCTGGGCTCGCTGCCCTCCGGCGCTGCCGCTCAGCCGGGAATCCTATTTTTAGTGGTGAGCAAGAGCCCGGCACTGTGCAAGTGCACAGAGGGGACGAGGATGGTGCGGGCAGCCTTCCTCCACCCCACACAGCGCAGGGACGGCTGGGGGTGCTGCCTTTGGGTTTTACCCCTCACTAAAGCGGCGAGGACCGGGGGTGGGACGCACATCCCTGCCCAGCCCGGCACAGACGGGATCGGGGCCCCATGCGGCACTCGCAGGGTCGGTCAGAGCTTTTCCACAGGCTCCGGCCGAGGCTCTGCTCCAAACCCTTCGCATCCTTGGCACGGAGGCCCGGAGGCGCTGGCCTTCCCCGGCCTGGCCTCGCTTCTGCTGCTAATTAGGGAGCTTGGAGCTGGCAGGGCTGCTCCCACCAGCCGCAGTCGCTTAATGGGGAACAGATTCCCCCGGTGCGGGAGGGCCCTGAGGGCTGGCCGGGCCCTGTGTGGTTGAGTTTGGGGTGGGCTGGGGGTCACACACACCCCAAACCCCCTCCTGCTGCTGCTCCTCAGTCCTCCAGCCCTTTTAATGCTGCTCCCGAGGGAGCAGGTCCCCATCCAGAGCAGGAGGTGGGGAGCAGGGATGGGATCCTGGCATGTTTTCCTCGATGGATGTGATGTTCAGGCCTGTGAATGGACTTTAGTGACAGCTGCCTTTGAGAAAATACGAGTAAAAGAGCAATAATCAGCTCAGGGCTACCCAGATCTCTACCCTCTGCAAAGCCTCCCTCAGAGAGCTGTTCCCACCTTTGGCAGGGGCTCCTCGGGGCTCGAAGCTGAAGGGGGCGAAGGCAGATTTATTTCAGTCCTGACCCCAAACCTGAGGCACGTTCCCTGCCCTGAGCAGTGCTGGCTGCTCTGCTCATGCCCCAGGAGCTGCTGGAAATCCCAGGGCTGGTTCTGGGATTGATGGATCAGAGCAGGGAATGACAAACCAGAGTGAACTCAAGTCCCTGCAAGGGCTTTGGAAGCCGAATTAAACCCTTCCTCTGGATTCAAGTTGGCACTGGCCATCCCGGTTGCAAAACACTGGGCAAGGCAAGAGTTAAACCCCCCTGCCTGGGAATTAATTAACAACAGATGTGCTTGGTTTTAACTAATTACTCTCCTGCCAGCACTCGGTTTTTATGGTTTTCTCAGAGTTGGAGCACCATGCCCGCTCCAGTACTGACCCTGCTGGCTTTTCCTGGGCACCTTGGGCTTCCTTGCCCTCCTTCCCCAGCCTGGCTGGCCCCAAGTTTGATGTTTTAAATGAAACAATTCTGTGAAATTGGCTAAAATCCATTAAAATTCCGGTCACCTAAATCAGCATTGCTGGGATTTTGGTGCAGGATCCCCCCCAGCGCTCCCTGGGGTGGGCAGTGCCTGACCCTGGCCATGGGGGTTTCCTTTTCCTACAATCCCTGCTGGGGATTGATTATTCCTGGGGCATTGGAGGTCTTAATGATGGGAACTCGTTGTTTAATTGCTGATGGATTCCAGGGGCTGCTGAGCCTGTTGTGGGTGCAGCCAGGGGGACAGAGGGACAACGGGAGGCTTGGAAGTTCTGCAGGCAGGTGTGAAACCCCTGGGATCCGGAGCTGGCTCATCCCCACTGCCCTGATCTCTCCGGACACCCCATTTTTCCATGGATGGAGCAGCTCGGGATGAGCCCCACATTTGGCTGCTCCTTTGGTGGGGAGGGCTGTCAGCAGCCTGGGCTATTTCTGTCCTCAATCACGATCAATAAAACGGGAGAGGATTTTTTATTTTCCACTCCAAATACTTTCTCCATCCTGTTTCCTCCCAGTTCACACGGCGGACTGGGGAGCGCTCCAGCAAGGAGGCCCACGGAGCCTTTTCCTCCTCCTCCTCCTCTTCATCCTCCTCCTCCTCCTCTTCATCCTCCTCCTCCTCCTCATGCCAACACAACTCCCACTCCTGCTCTGTACCACCCCGAAATTCCCTTGCAATTCCCTGCAAGCCAAGGGGCAGGTTCAGCTGGGGGCCGGCAGCGAGCCCTCGCACACGTGCGTGCGCACACACTCACACGTAAAAGAAAACACCCCCAGAGCCAAAGGGGAAAAAAAAAACCCCTAAAATAAAATAAACCCGGTTTTTGGAAGGCAGAGCAGCTCATGTAATCCCAGGTTCTGGCAGGATGGGGGACGGGAGACGACTGCAGTCTATTAAACTTCCTTTGAGAACCTGCCAGACTGACAACAGCTGGAAGGAATTAACATTTCGGGTCCACCAGCTCCTCTCCTCGCTTTCACCCTTCCCCAAAAGCCAGCTCCAGGCCAGAGGCCCGGCAGCATCACTTTTTCCCACTCCCTGATGTCCCACAGTCTCTGGCCGGAGCCGATTCCTTTAATCCTGAACCTGCCAGAAGCGTGAGCATCCTCTGAATGAAAAATCCAGCGCCTGTGCTGGCACCAGCCCCCAGGCTGGGTCTGAGGTTCATCCCCAAAAACTGGGACAAACACCAGGATGGGAAGGGTTTGCTGGATGTGTTTGTTGTGGCTTTGGGGTGAAACTTTAGGAGCTGTCCCCAACTCGGGTGTGCTGCCCCTTGGCTCCGTGTGCCGGGAGCTTGGCAGGATTTGGCTGAGGGGAGCAGGGTGGGATGGCCCTGGAGCAGAAATCCCCCAAAATTCCCGAGTTTCGAGGGGAAGGGCAGAGATTCCCCAAAATTCCCAAGTTTCAAGGGGAGGGGGTGCAGGAGCTGTCTGGAATCTGGCAGATTCCAGAGGCTGGGCTGCCAAAAGGCACCGAGCCCGGAGGCTGCGACCCAAACCAGAGCAGAGATCCCCACGTTGGGCTTTGCTACCAAGTTGGAGGAGGAAAATTCGGGAATGTTCCCGTTAACCCTCTCCTGGTTCCTGGGAGAAGTCTCAGCTTCACTCACCGTCAGCTTGGAGAGGGGTCTGCAATCCCAAGGGACACAATGGGAAAATCGGGATGTGCAGAACAGCTGGATCCATGGAGAAATGGGTGTGTGATTATTCCCAAGCACAAAAATCCAGGGATCCCACTGGGTTTGATGCCAAAGGGAGGTCGGAGCCCAGGTGTGGGAGATCTGGAGGTACCCACGGATCCCATCCTGCTCCGGTGGGGATTCCCATCATCCAGGAATATCCTGGAGCTCGGTGCCAGCGGGGACCAGGTGGGGAATTCAAGGGAGTTTTCCAGAGGTCAGGAAAACAGGAGGGACAAAGAGGAATTCCAGGAATTAGTGGAGGGCTCGGAGTGCGATCCGGCTGCCCAGGGAATTCCTGACTTGGGAATTCCAGCTCCTGGCCCAGCAGCACCAGTTACACCCACTGGGCTCCCAGTTCCGGGCACTGGGTCCTGCCTGGACTGGGAATCATCACTGAGAAAATCGATGGATTCCAGTTCTGTGTTTATTAAAGAATTCCTTGATTTATTAAGGAATTCCTTGATTTATTAAGGAATTCCTTGATTTATTAAGGAATCCCTTGATTTATTAAGGAATCCCTTGATTTATTAAGGAATTTCTTGATTTATTAAGGAATTCCTTGTTCTATTAAGACATTCATTATTTTATTAAGGAATTTCTTATTTATTAAGGAATTTCTTGATTTATTAAGCAATTTTTTGTTCTGTGAAGAAATTCCGTGATTTATTACGGAATTTCTTGAGTTATAAAGGACTTTCTTGTTTATTAAAGCATTTCTTGTTTAT